AAAATTTGCCAAAATCGTGAGCAATAAGCCTGTTTGCAAGAACGAACATGTACATGGGCTTCTTCGCAGACGTTTTATATTTTCTAGAGACTTGCCTAAGTGTGATGCACCGTTTCTGCGTAGTTTTGATGTAATTAGTAGACTGATTTTTTCTTGCATTGCCATGTAAGCAGCAGCTAAAGAAGTAGAGGCCACAAAAGTGTACATAACTGAACAATTTAACTTGGTATAAGCATTCACGTGTGATCATCGACAGGGGATATCGCAGTCACAGCTTTTTTTTTCTCTATGCTACTTGGACTTCCTGTGCGAGTAGTGGAAATAATGCGATATTCATACCGCTGGTGTCACACAGCCACTTGTGATCGCTGTCACGACATCTGCGGCAAACCCGATGCTGTACAGCGCAGCAGCGACAAAGTTGTTGCGCGCGATCAAAATTTCTCGAGGAAAACCGGTATTAGTCATCGCTACATGGTCCGGATCAAATACAGTGCAGCGCGACGACATGCAGCAAGTACCCGTGTGACAGCGTTCACTAAAGCGCGTCAGAACGCACCGCGCATTCAGAACTAACGTCCACACAGAACAGTCAGCACTCAAGCATCACCATATTTGCAAGGAATAATATCGCAATAATACAAACCGCCGCACAACATCGAAATATAGGGAGCGCTGACACACACATAACACAGCAAGTGGCGCCTTTACATACCCGCGCCGCTCTAGCCAGCGCGGGCGCACTGCTAGAGATGTTCGCGCAATTCGGCAACTAGGCCACGCGGTCGTGAGAAAAGCACCTAGCAGGGGGCTACTCTTATTAGTTCGCGCCATGGCTCGCCGTGGCACGGCAAGTCACCTGTCTGGAACGATGCTAGAATGTAATGTCGCGACTATGGTGGCTAGCATAGTCGCGACACTGTATGCAGTGCATGTGGAGAGAAGGAGAAAACTGCCGAACACTTGGTAATGTTCTGTAAAGGACTTCACCCTATAGTTCAGGATGATGGCACAGAGTTTTTCAAAGCAGTGGGGTTCAGGGACCGCGAGGGCGAAATAGAGTTTAAGTGGGTAGAATTAACTAGAAGACGGTTGTCTGATTGGTGGCTAAAGTCAAGGCACGAGTGAAAATGAAACCCTTCACTGCAAAGTAGCAGTCCTCAACTTTACTATTTAAAAAAAATCATCATCATCATCATCATCATCATCAGCCTGGCTACGTCCACTGCAGGACAAAGGCCTCTCCCATGTTCCGCCAGTTAACCCGGTCCTGTGCTTGCTGCTGCCAATTTATACCCGCAAACTTCTTAATTTCATCTGCCCACCTAACCTTCTGTCTCCCCCTAACCCGCTTTCCTTCTCTGGGAATCCAGTTAATTACTCTTAATGACCAGCGGTTATCCTGTCTACGTGCTGCATGCCCGGCCCATGTCCATTTCCTCTTATTTATTTCAACTATTATATCCTTAACCACCGTTTGTCCCCTAATCCACTCCGCTCTCTTCTTGTCTCTCAAAGTTACACCTACCATTTTTCTTTCCATTGCTCGCTGCGTCGTCCTCAATTTAAGTTGAACCCTCTTTGTGAGTCTCCAGGTTTCTGCTCCGTAGCTAAGTACCGGCAAGATACAGCTGTTATATACCTTCCTCTTAAGGGATAATGGCAATCTACCTGTCATAATTTGAGAGTGCTTGCCGAATGTGCTCCACCCGATTCTTATTCTTCTAGTTACTTCAATATCGTGGTTAGGCTCTGCGGTTATTACCTGCCCTTAGTAGGCAGTCTTTTACAACTTCAAGTGCACTATTACCTATCTCGAAGCGCTGTTCCTTTCCGAGGTTGTTGTACATTACTTTCGTTTTCTGCAGATTAATTTTAAGACCCACCTTTCTGCTCTCCCTGTGTAACTCCGTAATCATGAGTTGCAATTCGTCCCCTGAGTTACTCAGCAATGCAATGTCATCGGTGAAGCGCAGGTTACTAAGGTATTCTCCATTAATTCTTATACCTAACTGTTCTCATTGTAGGCTTCTGAAAACCTCCTGTAAGCACGCGGTAAATAGCATTGGGGAGATTGTGTCCCCCTGCCTTACACCCTTCTTGATTGGTATTCTGGTGCTTTCTTTATGAAGCACTATGGTAGCAGTTGATTCCCTGTAGATTTCTTCCAGAATGTTTATATATACTTCATCTACGCCCTGATTCCGCAGTGTCTGCATGACGGCTGATATTTCTACTGAATCAAACGCCTTCTCGTAATCTATGAAGGCTGTGTATAGTGGTTGGTTATACTCTGAGCATTTCTCTATTACCTGATTGATAGTATGAATGTGGTCAATTTTTGAGTAGCCAGTTCAAAATCCTGATTGTTCCTTTGGTTGATTGAATTCTAATGTTTTCTTTACTCTGTTAGTAATTACCTTTGTAAATAGCTTGTACACTACAGAGAGCAAGCTGATCGGCCTGTAATTCTTCAAGTCCTTGTCATCTCCTTTCTTATGTATTAAGATGATGTTAGCGTTCTTCCAAGACTCTGGTACCCTTCCCGTCAGGAGACACCTCGTAAACAGGGTGGCTAGTCTTTCTAACACAATCTGTCCTCCATCTTTCAGCAGATCTGATGTTACCTGATCCTCACCAGCAGCTTTGCCTCTTTGCATGCTCTCCAAAGCTTTTCTGACTTCTTCTATCATTACTGGTGGGGTGTCGTCTGGGTTACTGCTAGTTAATATAGTATTAAGGTCGTGGTTGTCTAGGCTACTGTACAGATCTCTATAAAACTCCTCCGCTATTTTAACTATCCTATCCATATTGGTAGTTATTTTGCCTTCTTTGTCCCTTAGTGCATACATCCGTCTTTTGCCTATCCCAACTTTCCTCTTTTACTGCTTTGAAGCTTCCTCCGTTTTTCAGAGCGTGTTCAATTCTCTCCATGTTATACCTTCTTACATCGCATACTTTACGTCTATTAATCAACTTCGAAAGCTCTGCCAGTTCCATTTCGTCTGTTGTACTTGACACTTTCATGGTTTGACGCTTCTTAATTAGGTTCTTCGTTTCCTGGGAAAGCTTGCCAGTGTCCTGTCTAACTACCCTGCCTCCAACTTCCACTGCACACTCCGTAATGATACTCGTCAGATTATCATTCATTGTATCTACGCTAAGGTTGGTTTCCTCACTAAGAGCCGAGTACCTGTTCTGCAGCGACACTCTGAATTCCTGTACTTTCCCTCTCAGTGCTAGCTTATTGATTGGCTTCTTGCGTATCAGTTTCTGTCGTTCCTTCCTGAAGTCTAGGCGAATTCGAGACCGTACCATTCTATGGTCACTGCATCGTACCTTGCCAACCACTTCCACATCCTGCTCGATGCCTGGTTGTGCACTCATTATAAAGTGTATTTCGTTCTTATTTTCCCCATTAGGGCTCCTCCATGTCCACTTGCGGTTTTCTCGTTTTCGGTAGAAGGTATTCAAAATCCGCAAATTATTGCATTCTGCGAATTCTACTAGTAGCTCTCCTCTGGCGTTTCTAGTGCCGATGCCATAATCTTCTACTGCCTGGTCTCCAGCCTGCTTCTTCCCTACCTTTGCATTAAAGTCGCCCATCACTATAGTATACTGTGTTTTTACCTTACTCATTGCTGATTCCACGTCTTCATGGAAGCTTTCAACTGAAGCGTCATCATGGCTGGATGTAGGCGCGTAAGCCTGTACTACCTTCATCTTGTATCTTTCATTCAGTTTAATTACAATACCTACCACCCTTTCATTAATGCTATAATAATCCTCTATGTCGCCAGCTATGTTTCTGTGAATTGGGAACCCCACTCCCAGTTCTCTTCTGTCTGCCAAGCCCCGATAGCAAAGGACGTGCCCATTCTGTAGCCCCGTATAGGCCTCATCTGTCCTCCTAACCTCACTGAGCCCTATTATATCCCATTTAACACCCTCTAGCTCTTCGAATAGTACAGCTAGACTTCCCTCACTAGATAAGGTTCTAGCGTTAAACGTTGCCAAGTTCAGGTTCCAATGGCGGCCTGTAGTCCAGAGATTCTTAGCACCTTCTGCTGCGTTGCAGATCTGACCGCCACCGTAGTCAGTTGCTTCGCAGCTGCTAAGGACTGAGGGCCGTGAGTTATTTTGCGTATCCATGTGGGAGGATGTGGCCAGATACTGCACCAGGGTGGCCAATCCTTCTCTGGTGAGGGGGTGCGTTCCCGGCTGTGGTTACCGGTGAGGCCGCATCTCAGGCCTTTTATTGTAGTTCCATCAACACGAATTTTTTTTTCCCCGGTTGGGAACGGCGCGGCACCGGGCACGTGGTCCGACTGGTGTTGTTTTCACAGACTCACACTGTTTTCCGTTCCTAAAATTTAAAATTTTCGTTTGTAATAGCAGTATTTGTAGCGGTTGAACTCCTTGTATCTTCACGAACAAATAGACACCACTCTGATCCTCCTAGGACCAAAATTGCTAAAGTTATAGGTAGATATGTTATAGGTAGATATGTGCAGAGCTCACTTACCCGTGCTGCTGAAGCGGCCGCTCCCGCAGTTGGAATAATCTGTGCTTATTGGCTAAGAGGTGGCGGAGCAGTTCCGGTGGGCTTAATTCGCTGTGGAAGCTGTTTCGTCAAACCCAGCGCAATCATTGACAGCCGTCCGGCAACACTGAGTGTGTCTTTTGATTAAGTCTTTTTTGACGCTCTTGGTTGAATTGGGCGCTCGCGGTTTTTTCGACGGCTATCTACGGATTTTAACGACTCAATTGAGACCTGTTTTGTCGTCCTGGGGTGTGTAAAAGCCGAGATATGACTCGTTGTCCTCAGAGTGGCTTAGTCCCACACAAGATGGCGGCCCCCATATGGTCATAAGGTGGAAAAAATTGCTTGTGGGTTTGTTAAAAAAAAAACAACTTCACTAAATATTATGGCCAGAGGGCGCTAGTGAATACCCAATCCGAAGTGTGCAGCCACATTCATCCATCCATCCATCCATCCATCCATCCATCCGTCCAGGTGTTCTGTGGCCAAGCTGGGAAAACAGTTACCTGTGAAGTGTAGAGTGACAGGCGGTGCGAAAGGACGCCCAAGGTGTTCTGTGGTAAGCCTCAGTAGTGCGATACTTCAGCTGTGCTTGCGTACCTGTCCGCTGTGATACGGGGCGCAAGCGCACCTCCGCCTGGCGTGGCTGGGCACGTCCAGTTGCGTGGGCATTTCACTTAGATCAAAAACACGAAGGCGGAACGAGTGCGCGTCGCTACGAGCATGCATGATCAATGCAGAGGGCGAGCCCGGTATGTCGTATCATTGCAGTATGTAGATCATTAAAAATAATAATAACGCCAGCCCTGCGTTGAAGGCGTAACACCGACACGGCCAAAACGTGAGCGGCCTTACAAAGGCTTTTCTAAGCACTCTTTATGTAAATGCTAGAAGCACACTTGCTAGGTAGTCACTACGCCATTAATTTTCATAATTTCTGCATAGTAGGTCGGCACTCGGTACGCTATGCTTCGTCATTCTCCGCTAAACACTTGCAACGAATTTGTGACGGCGATGAAGCATTACGCCTGGAGTGGGAATGTGCCGCAGTTAAATGGCCATTCACTAGGCCATATACTGAAATTTAGTTATACCGTGGAAGTTGTTGGGTGTCCGATGAAGAACATTTTGCCACAAAATTTTTTTGAATCGGTTCATTACGAGCTGAGAAAATTGCTTTTTTTTTCTAAACAGCGCGAAACGAGAGGAGGCGAGCTCGAAACCTTTGCCGCTCTTCTCTGTAGCCTTCGCAAGCCAAGTCTCTCCTCTACCCTCTCCGGCATCGGACCAAGAGGTCACTTGCGCATGACGTCTGCGAACAAGCTCAACCCCAATGCACGCGAGGGGCGTTTTTTTTTCGTTGTTGTTGACCAGCGTTGTTTTGAGGTCTACTACTGCCTGTTTTGCAGGATGGTTTGGGAACGCTGTTTAGACGCGGCAGAATAGATGAGCACAATGAGTGCGCCAACGCGTAGGAGCGTTCCACGGCTTTTGTCTGCTCGATGTGCTGACCGCGGCAACGCATGTCGTTGCAATTCACGCGAAAAAAAAAAAAAAAAGAAACAGAGCGCTCACATGCCCTTATGGCGTCTCATTATTTATATAGTGATTTGATAATCTCTCTAAGCAACAAATACATAAACTACGCACGTCGTGTTATAATTTTCGCCATGTAACGTGCCACTTTTGACAACATCGGAGCACAATCGTCTACGTAGAGGACCAACGTCACTGCATTGCGGTGTACATAGGGTCATTCATACGCGCACTTCATGCCCTCATTCTCTGGGCGCGCTCGCAAAAGGAAGGGGGTGCAGCGTTTATCTTGAAATTTGACCCATTTTTGTGGTGCGTAGCGTTGCAAATTTCGGCATACGTGATCGTGAAAGCTTCATCTACGCATTGCACTTTTGTTAGCTGAAAATTGCCAAACTTGTTGAGTGGCCCTTTAATGGGTGATGAAGCTTTTGTATTGTGTTGGAGAATTGGACGACCCACTCGTTACGCGATTTGCATTGTGGGATGCCTGGTTGTTTCTTTGCTGTTCTAAAACACTTTATTACTCATAATAACACGATTTCTTTCCCGACATCAACCTGCCTAAGGCAAGTTTGCGGACATATCCTAAGCACCGGCGTGGCTCAGCATTCTGCTTTCTGCCACCATAGTGAATGTGCGCCAAATGCAGAACTCCGTCCTAGTGGCTACAGCGGCCCTTGAGGGCCGTGGTAATAGGTCAACTAAAGAGTACCAAGTGGTTCTGCCTTGTGTGCCATCAGGATGCGTTGCCTTACATATTGTGTTTTTGCATGGAGACGTTCGAGCGAGACCCTATAGGGGTGAAGACTTCAGAGATGCGTGAGGTCCCACTGAACTGCTAACGGACATCATTGCACTCGAAGCGTACCAGATTAATCACATCTGGGCGGTTGCACTGACCGGAGAAGACGCGACGAAGAAACTGCTGTCCTTCAAGGAACTTCAGGTGAAGGGACACCGGTGTCTCATCGCCAATCCTCAGGACCGGCTGATAAAACTGCGGCTTCATTGGCTGCTTTACGGAGTCGCTGATGAGGATGTGCGGACGGAATTTGCGGCCTTCAGCAATGTGGTCGAAGTGAATCGGGGAATGGCGTCAGCGACAAGCGGTCGGTGACCAGAACTGTGCTACTCAAGAGTGGAGTAACGGTTGAGAACCTTCCGCACCAAGTACGCGTTCCAGGGGAATTGGCCTTAGTCGTGGTGCCGAGCAGGCCTATGCAATGCTTGCAGTGCAAGAGGACTAGTCATGTATGACGGGACTGCAGGGTACCACAGTATTCCAGTTGTCCAAGATTTCGGCATCGAGACACCCAGTGCATCCGGTCATACGCAGCTGTTACAAGCGCTGCGACGTGCGATGAGATAGGAGAGCAGACCATGGACGCTGCTGAGGTGGAAGACGCAGCTACGGGGGCAGGAGATGCGGCCAGTTCTCTGGATTAATGCAGGTTGGTTTTGCCTGAAGAGTACGATACAGTGTCTGAACCCAAAGAGAAAGAAACGGCTGCGGTGGATATTAGTCAAAGGAATTGCACTGAAGACACGCAAAGCCAACCAGCGGAGATGACTACGCAAGCCAGCACACGGAAGACGTGATATGCCAGCACACGGAATGACCCTCGGGATCAACACGAGCTCGAGGGTCAAGCGTTCGCTGGAGCAATCTGTGGGCACTGCTCATGAGAGCAAAGATTAGGGGCCACGAGCGAAGGCGACACTGACGCGGCACTTGGGCCTCAGAACGAGGTCCAATCTACCCGTTGACCTACCGGTTGGCACTCCAAGCGACCAGCAGCAAACGGATGCCATACCTTAGATGTTTCCGGAGACGTCTAGCTCACGTACACTGTAAGCACCATGCTCTGGGCCACCCTTTCTTTTTTTTAGTCCGTAACGATGGCTAATAACATGGCACTGAGCTTTGCAACCTTAAACGTCTAAGGTTAGGCCTCCAAGAAAAAGCAGGCTCAAGTATACGGCTTGTTAATTGACCAAGATATCGATGTGTTAGACATGCAGGAGACAAAAGTGGGAGGTTAGGAGGAGACCCGAAGCATGATGCTACGGTTTACGTCTAAATATTATGCTGTAGTTTGTCACACAAATGGAACTTCTGCTGATTGTTTGCTTTTTTGTTGAAAAGATTTCAGGATTTATTGTTCAAAACCACTTCTCTTGTGACTCTGGCAAAATAGTGATTTGTGAATTTATTACGAGCGAAATTGTGTCGATGCACCAAACGTGGAAGCAGACCGAGAAACTTTCTTTTGGTTAATTAAGCAACATTGACGGACGCCAAAACAGCTTGTTTTATTGGGAGACATCAATTGTGTGTTGAGCGCGAAGAATGGAAATAATAACTGCTGTGTTTGAAATATAAGTGCTGAAGCGCTCTTTGACTTGCTGAATGAATCAGACATGAATGATGTAGCGGAGTGCCTCGAGGCAGGTCGCGAAGTTCGTTTTACGCATTTTCAGGTAACCAGTCACGCACGTCTTGATAGCGCCCCGCCACGGTGGTCTAGTGGCTAAGGTACTCGGCTGCTGACCCGCAGGTCGCGGGTTCGAATCCCGGCTGTGGCGGCTGCATTTCCGATGGAGGCGGAAATGTTGTGGGCCCATGTACTCAGATTTGGGTGCACGTTAAAAGAACCCCAGGTGGTGAAAATTTCCGGAGCCCTCCACTACGGCGTCTCTCATAATCAAATGGTGGTTTTGGGACGTTAAACCCCACATATCAGTCAATCACGTCTTGATAGCATATACATGGCAGGGGAGGGGATAGCTGAAAACAATAGTTATACAGTCTTATCTGTCTTGTTCTTTGACCATTGTCTTGTGCAATATTATGGAGACTTCAAGAAAAAGAAAACAAATTTAGTTGGGATTTATGAAAGTTTAATGGTAACTACTTCGTGATGACAAGTTTAATAACTTTGGGATTGAGGGAATTGAGAATGTCAAAATGATTGGCGCCTGTAATATTGGTGAGGAATGGGAACTTTTGAAGCAAAGCATTAAAATGAAAGCCATATCAAGATATAGTGCTTTAAAACATGAAGAAAGAATGAAAGAGAATGAACTCAAAACAATGCTTAAAAAATTGACAGCACTAGAACGTAAGGAGCCCGGTGCATATAAGAAAGATATTCGAAAGATTAAATGACAAATTGAGCTGTTTGAGCAGGAATGCTGCAGAAGAGCCCTTCTTCGTGCGAGAGCACAGGCATACACTATGGGAGAGACTTCTACCAAGCGCGCGCTTGGAATCGAGTAATCACGAGCGCATCTTAATCACATCGACGTAATAGAGGAAAGTGATATTTTGTTAAATTCTAACAGCACTATCGCTGAAGCCTTCTTTCGGTATTACAAGGGTCTATTCGTAGTCTCATTAGCAGATGTTAAAAAGTTCAGACACTTTTCTGAGCCGGATGCTGCAATTATCTCTCAAAACAAAAGAAGCGTTAGAGAAGCCTCTAACTTATTTCTGAGATTGAAACTGCAATACATAATCTCGCCGCTGGGAAGTCCCTTAGGCCTGACGATCTCGGTGTGATGTGGTATAATGCTTTCAAAACATACGTTTCACCAGTGTTACAAGCTGTCTTCGAGGAAGCCTACACAATCAAAACATTACCACCATCATTTGCCGAGACGCACACTATTCTAATCCCAAACAAAGATAAAAACGCAAAATTAAAACTAGTTTCATCATATAGGCTAATTTCACTAACCAACACAGACTACAATACACTCTTGAAAGTGTTGGCAGTTAGATTGCAGTCCGTAATCACCAAAGTAGTTTGGGAGCACCAGACTTGTGGCATCAAGGGGCACTCAATATTTATGAACACATATATAATACGCTGTGTCCTTGAGAGTTGTGATACTTTTCATTCTTATGTTGCGATCCTCTAACTTGGTTTAGAGAAGGCTTTTGACTGTATCCCGCATGATGTGCTATTCTCCATACTTGGACATGTTAATGTTGGATCGGTGATTACAGAGGGCATA